CCCCCTTGCGGGGCCACCAGGCTGCGAGGATGAGGATTTTAGCTCCCTGTTCCAGTAACAGTTTCCAGTTACCACTGTTACATTCCTGCTTTCTGCTTCCTTACTGATAATTCTTGCTGTCCGCGCGAGGGGTGGGGGCCCCAAACAAGATTTGTGTACCACGCCCTGGGAGGGTTCTCAGAATTCTTGGGGGGCGTGGGACACGTAACAATACATGATACCCGCGTCCCCCAAGCCATAATCTCTAATACATTACGCCACCATATTCGCGTCCCCGAGGCCATAAATCCTGTAAGTACTGAATATTCGCGTCCCCGAACCCATCATACCCCGTAACTTGCGCAACATTTACATCTCTGGAGCAATTCGGAAATTAAGCAACATTCGCGTCCCCGAAGCCATAATCCCAAGTACGTTACAAGATATTTGCGCCCCGAGGCCACAAACCCTCATACATCACGCGATATTCGCGTCCCCAAGCCATGAGGCAATCCACATTCGAAAATTAAGCAACATTCGCGTCCCCGAAGCCGTAATTCCATGTACATTGCAAGATATTTGCGCCCCCGAGGTCACACCCCCTGGTAAATCATGCAATGTTCGCGTCCCCGAAACAATAATCCTTTACCTATACGACCACCCTCCGGGTGATAAGGAGGTTCGGGGGGGGGAGGAACCAACGTCTCACTCGATCGGTCTCACTATCGATCTCACTATCGATCTCACTATGGATCTCACTATCTGTCTCGCTCGATCGATCTCACTCGATCGATCTCACTATCGATCTCACCCGATCTATTTCATTCGATCGATTTCACCATCGATCTGACTCTCGATGTCACAATCGATCTCACAATCGATCTCACTACCGATCTCACAATCGATCCCACATTCGGTCCCACTATCGATCTCACTACCGATATCACAATCAATCTCACAATCAACGTCATCATCATCAACATCATCGTCATCAACGTCATCAACATCATCGGGACACCACGATCATCGTCACCACCTCATCACCATCATCACCAACATCATCATCACCATCACCATCGGGACACCATCATCGTCACCATCATCATCAACATCATCATCGGGACACCATCATCATCATCAGCATCGGAACACCACCATCATCATCATCAACATCTCATCATTATCATGAACAACATCATCAACATCATCATCATCATCATCATCGGGACACCATCATCATCAGCAGCATCATCACCAACATCATCATCGGGACACCATGGTCCTCGTCACCATCATCATCACCATCATCGGGACACCATCATCATCATCAACATCATCACCATCGGGTCACCATCATCAAAATCAACATCATCACCTCATCATCATCGTCATCATCAACATCAGCATCATCACCGGGACACCATCATCGTCATCATCATCATCAACATCATCACCATCGGGGCACCATCATCACCACCATCATCAACAGCATCATCATCAACCTCATCATCACAATCATCATCGGGACACCATCATCATCATTGTCTTCATCATCATCAGCATCATTATCATCTCATCATCATCAACATCATCATGATCATCAACATCATCATCATCATCATCATCATCATCTTCATCATCATCATCGTCGGGAAACCATCACCATCTTTAGCAACATTTGCATCATCAACATCATCATCATCATCATCATCATCGGGACACCATCATCATCACCCCCATGGCCATCATCATCACCATCATCATCATCATCATCATCATCATTAACATCATCATTATCATCATCGGGACACCATCATCACCACTGCCACCACCATCATCATCACCAACATCATCGAAATCATCATCATCATCATCATCATCATCATTATCATCACCATCATCATCATCATCATCATCATCATCATCATCATCATCATCATCATCATCATCATCATCATCATCGGGACACCGACGGGACACCAGCGGGACACCGCGCGGCACTGGCCCCCGGAAAGGAAACATTTGGTCTGGCCGCGCCTCAGCTGGAGGCGGGACACCGGCGGGACACCGCGCGGCACCGGCCCCCGGAAAGGAAATATTTGGTCCAGCCGCGCCTCAGCCAGAGGAGACTGTCTTCTCGCCCGCCCACGCAGCTTCGCCTCGCCTGCACGCACGGCACGCACGAACACGAAACCGAAACCGATTTCCCGGTAGGGGGGCTCTCCGTTCCAATTCGATCTCACCCCCTCACCTCCGATACATTACATAAGATTCGCTCCCCCCGAAGCCATACACCTTCGCAACTTAAGCAATATTCGCGTCCCCGGGGCCACCAATCTTTGTAGATTATACCATACTTGCAGCCCCGAGGCCACAACCCCCAGCAAATTACACAATATTCGCGTCCCCGAGGCCATACACCTTTTCTAAATTAGGCAACTTGCGCCCCCGAAACCATACACCCTCGTAGTTTCGCAATTTTTGCATCCCCGAAACCATACAAGTTTGTAAATTATGCAATCTTCGCGCCCCCGAAGCCATACACTTTCAAACATTAAACAATATTCGCGTCCCCAGGGTCAGAAACCTTTGTAAATTATGCCATACTTGCATCCCCGAAGCCACAAACCCTTGCAAATTACATTGTATTCGCGTCCCCGAGGCCATACACCTTTTTAAAGTATGTTTGTGCCGCCAAGGCCATGCAGCCTCGTAAATCACGCAATATTTGCATCCCCGAGGCCACAAACCGTGGTAAATTAGACAATCTTCGAATCCCCGAAGCCATACACCTTGTAAATTGAGCAAGATTTGCACCACCGAGCTTCTAAACCTTCGTGATTTAAGATTGGCCCTCGCGTGAAGTCCCGACACTGCTTCACGTCGGCGTCCAGACATGGCACATCCAGTTCTAAGAGAGGGGGGCCGGCGGCATGGGGGCGAAGCCCTCACGGATAAGCCCTCCCTCCGCGCTCCCTCCTCACAGGCCCCTGCAAGGACTCGTGCCCACTGAAAGAAGTGCCCCGTTGGGAGACACACCGTTTGAGAATCCTGCAGCGCACTACAACACCATTCTCAGGATCTCAACGCCACGGATCAACCTGACCGTTGCGTCTTGGCGGTCCTGAGTCGTGTTAGAGCGCTTTTCCTGGGACTTCAACACCGCGAATCAACGTAACCGTCGCGCCCCGATAGTCCTGAATCGTTCTCAGAAACCATTTCTGTTACGTTAGCCGTACGAATACGTGAAACTCTTGCAACATGTGAAAACAAATGTTCGCGGCGCTATAGCGAGAGGCACATGTTGCAAACCACCCACCCTCAATTCGTGAAGCTCATCCACTTGTTGAAAACGAATCTGCGCGGCGCTAAGGCGAGAGCCACATTTTGAAAGCCACCCGCCCTCAATTCGTGAAACTCTTCCACTTTTTAAACGTTCATCTGCGCGGCGCCAAGGCGAAAGGCACAATTTGAAAACCATCCGCCGTCAATCCGTGAAGCTGTTCCAGTTTTTGTGCGAAGAATGTGCGCGGCGCTCAAGCGAAAACCACAATTTGAAACTCACCCGCCCTCGATCCGTGAAAGTCTTGCAAATTGTCAAGACGAGCGTGCGTGGCGCATCGCCGAGAGCCACATTTTGAAAACCACCCGCCCTCCATCTGTGAAATTGTTGCCACTTTCAGCTTCAGGATCATAAATGGTGTAAGGGAGTCTCAACCGAAACGCCCAGCCCGCCCTTCCGACTGGCCTCGGGGTGCGACAAGGAGAAATTACTAGTAAGGAGTGGAAGAGGATGAGGAGGAGGACGAGGAGGAGGACGAGGAGGAGAAGGAGGGGGAGGAGAGGAGAAGAGGGAGGAACACGGGAGGGAAGAGGGGGCCAGAGCCAGAGAGGGCGTTGGCGGAGGAAGAGCAGCATCAGCATCAGCATCAGCATCAGCATCAGCATCAGCATCAGCAGCATCAGCAGCAGCAGCAGAGACGAGGGTGGTAAGATAGCTGCGGCCAGCCCACATCTGGTATAGTTATCCTGTCCCTGCGACATTTTTTTCCTCGTTGCCTCGAACCGGGTAAGGCCTCGGGTTGCACTGACAGCTCCCCCAATGAGCCCCAGCTGGCCCCAACAGGCCCCCCGAGCAGTCCCCGCTTGCCTGAAACAACCCCCCCGAGCAGTCCCAGCTAGCCTCAGCAAACTCTCCGAGTAGTCCAGGGCGGTTGGCGCCGCCTCCTGCGGCGCCCCTGGGGCGCTTCGCGCCCCGTGGATGGGGTGTTGAGACCAGACCGCCATGGGCTACTCGGAGGGACTGTTGAGGCCTGCTGGGACTTCTCGGGAGGCCTGTTGAGGCCAGCTGGAACTACTACCTCCAGGGGGCTGCTTGTGCGCAGCCCGCAGCCTTACCAGGTTCGACGCAACGGGGAAGAACATGTCGCAAGGATGAGATATACCAGATGTGGGCTGGCCGCAGCTATCTTACCGCTGTCCTCTCTGCTGCTGCTGCTCTTCCTCCGCCAACGCCGACTCTGGCTCCGGTCCCTTTTTCCCTCCCGTCTGCCCGTCGTGCACCCTTTGGGGGTCGTTGCCATCGTCGACACTCGACTGAGCGAATAGAGAAGGGCTCTCAGCAATGGTGAAGGATGGGAGGGAGTAGGACGACAGATATGACGCGAGCGTGCCTAGCTTGGCCCTCCCCCCTCTCTGCTGCTCGCCGTGCTGCTGCTGCGGCTCCTCCTCCCTCCCCGCTCTCGCCCCTCCTCCCCGCAGCGGCCGCGCTGGCGCAGAGAGGCTGCGCGGGCGAGCGAGGGCGAGCGCGAGAACATCAGTCGAGCCCGAATGGCAGTGAGGCCGACCCAGTCCCTCCTCCCCCCTCCTCCTCCTCCTCCTGCTCCTCCTCCTCCTCCTCCTTCTCCTCCTCCTCGCCGTCGTGGTGCCCCTGCTACTCCGGCCCCCTCCCCCTCCGCCCCCCCCCCTGTCGGCCCCCCACTCGCCCCAGCCCTCCCTGGACCCCACGGCCAGCCCTCCTGCCTTCGACATGAACTGCGTCCCCCTCAGCGCAGAAATGTTGAAGACCTCGTCGACCAGCGCGTACGAGACGGCGCCCTGGCCCCAGAGGTCGCTGATCGTCGGCGCCACCTCCGTGGCTGTCCAAAAAGGCTGCCCTTCGACGAGGCCAGAACGAGATAAGGCGGGAATCTCCGAGAATCTCCGAGAGGCGGCGGATCTGGAGGAGGAGGAGGAGGAGGAGCACGAGGAGGCGGAGCACAAGGAGGAGGAGGAGGTGGAGGAGGAGGAGGAGGAGGAGGAGGGTATCGGGCACCGTGGCCGCTCCGGAGCCTTCTGGAACGCTCCAGAACGACTCTTCCTCCTCCTGGGCCTGCCCGGCAACGGCTGCCCTTCATCGCAGATCGACCACACCATTTGCACAAGCGAGCCCGTGGAGGATCGACCCCATCTTCGGATGAGGGGAGCTGCTCCTGTGACCGCACACGGCCGATGCCACGAGCAGACATACCAGCGCGCGCCATCGAATCGACGCAGCCGTGGCCGGCAGCCCTGGCGCCTCGGGGTCCTCGAACTGGGTCCGCAGCCGGAGGGTGTAGGCCGCCGCGTACTCCTGAGGGGCAACGCTCGGCAGGACCAGCTGAGGGGGGAAACGTCGGCCTGGAATCGGCGATATATCGCCGATAGAAAGCCGCTATGCCCCCATGAGCGACTCCGCACGGTCCTCGATGGGCGATTGGGGGTCGACGCGTCCCCCGCTGAGCCCATCCCCCTGTACAGTTGCCCCTGAACTCCTTCAGGTCTTGGAAGAGCTGCGAACTCGCGCCGACCAGGTCGTGGAAGGTGCTCGCCACCAGGACCTGGGCGGCCCCAGGCTGTCCCGCATGGGCGTGGCGCACATCGTTCGCTCGCCGAGCCGTCGGAAGTGGAAGCGGGCCCGCGCGCGGGCCTACAGCGTCGGGCAGACTTCGCCTGAAAGTGGCGCTGTCGCCTCGGCGCGGTCTTCGCCACCCATCGGACGCGTGGCCGCGCGCGAGAAGGCTGCATCGCGCTCTCGCTGGAGCGCCGCGCCCGCCTGGGCCCATTATCTCTTCCCCGCGCCACGTCGTCGTAAGCGGCGCCGCGCGCGAGCGCTCTCCGTGCGCTGGGTGGGCACGCGCGCCAGTCCCAAAGCCCAGTTGTGCCAACATGGGCGCCTGGATTCTTACGGTGGTGGCATTGGATCGGGAATCGTTGGATAAGGAAGCCAGGGTCTGGAAGCTGGCGGCGTTCCGATCGCAAACTGACATGGACATCACCGCCGCCCTCATCAGAAGAGGAGGAGGAGGAGGAGGAGGAGGAGGAGGAGGAGGAGGAGGCGGGAGGGGGAGGAGGAGGAGGGGGAGGGGAGGAGGGGGAGGAGGAGGAGGGGGGGGAGGGAGGAGGAGGAGGAGGAGGAGGAGGAGGAGGAGGAGATAAGGAACGCTACAGGGTGTGAAGCCTCCTGGGCACACTCCTTCACGACCCCCCCCACCGTATGCCACGGGGTGGAGGGTGGGATGGAGCGGTGGGCCCGCGGGCTCGCTCGAACTGGCTGTGTTGACCTGGCCGCGTGCTCCCGGCCAGCTTGCCCCAGCCTCACGCGCATCCCTCCTCCTCTCCCTCTCTCTCTCGGCCTCGTCCTTGCCCTGGTCCTCCTCCTGAGCCTCGTCGTCGTCGTCCGTCGTCGTCGTCGTCGTCGTCGCCCTCCTCCTCATCCTCGCCATATTCTTCCTCCCTTCGGCCTCTCCTCCTCCTCCTCCTCCTCCTCCTCCTCCTCCTCCTCCTCCTCCTCCTCCCACCGCACTCCCTCCGACGTCCCACCCTTCCTTCTTCCTCCCTCCCTCCGACCAGCACGACGGTGGACGGGTCCTTGGCGGACAGGTGGCCGCGATACCTCCGCCAGGCTGCGGGAACACGCGCGGGCGCCGACCCGCCCCCCCCCCCCCCTCACGGCCAAACACTACGGAGACCAGGCTTGGGCTCTGCTCCTTTCGTTCTGACCCTCTTGCTCCTTTTCCTGGCCCTCCTGCTCCTGTTCCTCTGCCTCCTGCTTCCCACCCTCGCTCCTCCTCGTCCCCATCGTGCTCCTCCTAGTCTCTCCTCTCTCTTGCTGCTGCTCCCGTTCTTGCTCCTGCCCCTGCTGCTGCTGCTGCTGCTGCTGCTGCTGCTGCTGCTCCGCTCCCTCCTACCCCGTCCCCCCCTCCTCCTCCTCCTCCCCCTCCTCCTCCTCCTGCTCCTCCTCCTCCTCCTGATCCTCCTGCTTCTCGCCCCCCCGTCCTACTTCTCGCCGTCGTCGTCGTCGTCGTCGTCGTCGTCGTCGTCGTCGTCGTCGTCCCCCCTTTCCTTCACAATCGCTAAATCTGCGTGCTACCACCCTCTCTCCCCATAAGATTATATCTCAGCGGGGCCCTTTTGTTTCCGCATGCTGTCGTTTATCTACGCGAGTTATAGCAATGACTTGTGCTCATATTTCTGTGTTTGGTCACCGCGCTTTATTCAAACGCCGTGCCCCCGACGACACTCAGGAATCACGCTTTCGCTGTAGATCTCCTCACGCTTTACTTGGGAACCGCGCTATCATTCGAGACTTCCTCGCGATTCATGCAAGACGCACGCTTCAACAACCCGCCTGCCACCTGTCCCTTCCTTCCATCCGTACTCTTTTCCATGCCAAGGCTGCGCGGAAGACGCGTTGCAGGTAAGAGAGCTATACCCGTAAAGGGGGTACCGTCGTCGACGAAAAAGGTTGGTATCGAGGGTCTGGGATACACGTGTTGAGTGGCACGTGATCGGATAAGAGCGAGCAGTCTGACAATTGTTGTTGTTGTTGTTGTCGTTGTGGTTGCTGTTGTTGTTGCTGCTGGCGCTGCTGTTGTTGCGGTTGAACCTTACATACAAAACACGTATTATTGATTTTCCTTTCTTTAAAAAAAATTCGACCATTTCCCCGGACTTATCCCCCCCAGGAACCGGTGTAACACACATATGATGCTGACCCAATGTCCATCCTACCTGTGAATTCATAATGCCCCAGCCAAGCCTGTATCGGTTCCCCTCGCCATCCTCTGCAACATATACTATGCGCGCACACTCGTTTATCACACATCATACGTTCCCAAGAATCCTTTGCAAAAAACAAGACGAAGTGCGCACGCGCGCGTCGTCGCGCGCGCATGCCGAAATCCTTCAACAACATTCGGTTTCGGGAGGATTGTAAAATCGAGTGTCCAAACATCATACAGAAACACCGGTACTCGCAACGCGGATTTTCAACAAAAGCGTGCGCGCTCTCTTGCGAAATCTTAAGCAAACCAAGAGTTTTCCAACATTTTCATAACATGCTACCAAACGGGCTTCGCGCGCGCATGTCGAAATCGTTCGAACGCCCTTGCGCGCGTGCTGGGGTGGCACGATCCGTGCCAAATAACACCATGCGAGCCATTCTCGCGCGTCTGCCCAGCGCGCATTTCGAATTCCTGCCAAAATCTTCATCACCGACGCGAGGACGCCGTCATCGTCGTCGGCGTCATCGGCATCGGCGCAGTCATCGCCACTATCATCATCATCATCATCATCATTATCATCACCATCCTCCTCCTCCTCATCATCACCATCGTGTCTACAACTGTCGTCACCAACATCGCCACTATCATCGTCATCGGGTCTATAAGTGTCAACGTTGCCATGATACCGCACCCGCCCAAGCCGCCGACTCGCACCCAAGTGCCCGCTGGAATGTGCCGAGCGGTCAGCACCACCTCGGCCTCGTCGGTCGCGCCAAACTACCTGGCCGCTGCGCGCGCGCATGCGCGGGCTGGCGCGGCCGCAGAGATGCACCAGCCAGCGCCAAACACTCATCGCAATCGCCGCCGCATGAGGTTTGCAAACCAAGTTGCGGGTGGGTGGGTGGGATGTTTGCGCAAGCAGTGGAATGGACAACTCACTGCGAGCAGAAATTATTGAGCCCCTTAGACCCGCCCTGGCGCTCTCGCCTAGGCGCTGGCTGCATTTCCTCTGAAATCGAAGCTCACTCTCAGGAGTTTCGGGGTTTCGCAAAACCGGCACCCCAACAACAACAACAACAGCAACAACAACAACGCTCTGGCTCTATACTTCATCCTTTTTTACTCAGGCCTGGTGCTCTTGCTCGCCGCCGAAAGCCGGCGTTGCCACCAAACCAACGCTCCTGCCCAATACTTCCGCGTCTTCTACGCAAGATCGGCGCTGTCGCTTCGGCGCCGAAAACCAGCTTTCGCACCAAACCAGCGCTCTGACTCGACCCACCATTACAACAACGGCGCTCCCGCTCGGTACTCTCTAGCGTTTTACTCAAGACTGCGGCCCTCGTGTCGGAATCGCCTCTGGGGGGGTTCCAAAGTCACTATGGGAGCTCAAATACTAAACCATTATTACTGCTGGGCCCCCTTAGTGCGCCCTGGGGCTCTCGCCTGGGCGCTGGCCGAATGTCACGCGAAGTCGAAACTCACGCTCAGGCGTTACGAGGTCCCGCCATACTGGCCCCCCGAACAACAACACCACCAACAACAACAGCAGCAGCATATGCAACAACAGCAACAAACACATCAACAACACCAACAACAACGATAACAGCAGCAACAACAGCACCACCAATAATAACAGCATCGACAACAACGGCAGTAACAACCAACGGCAGTAACAACGACAACAACAATAACAACAGCAATCACAGCAACACCAATAAAACCAACAACAACCATAGCAACAACATCAACAACACCAACAGCAACGCTCCCGTTCGACACCTCCCCCGTTTTTACAGGCCCGCCTTGGGGTGCCTTAGGAAAGTCAGAAAAACGGCATGACCTGCGGCCCTTCCCGACTGGATGCGTGGTCCCCTTGGCCTCCCCTCCTCTTCCTCATCATCTCCTCTTCTCTCGTCCTCTTCCTCCTTCTCGAGAGCCTCGTCCTCCCTGCCTTTTCCTTCTCTTCAGTCTTTCTGCACAGCTTCGGGCCTTGCGTGGACCGTGGAGGGCGTGGATGGATGATCAAGGAGGGTTCATCGTCAGTCTGACTGGGCGTGGGGGCCGCCGCTATGACAATCTGCGTGGGTTTCGCTTCCCTGCGTGGCTGTTCGCGTAAGGACGCGTGGACATCGTGTAAGCCGTGTGAACGACGACGACGACCACGACGACGACGACGACGACGACGGCGGCCGCGGCGACGGCGGCGACGACGACAACGACGACGACCACGACCACGACCACGACCACGACGACGACCACGGCAGCGGCGGCGGCGGCGACGACGACGACGACGACGGCGAAGCGGCCTTTTTGAGTTTTTCTTGCACCCGTGGGTTTGCCCGAGGGGCCGGGGAAGGAACAGCGTCTCCTTATTCTCTCTTCTCCTCCTTCCCCTCCTCCTCCCCCTCTTTTCCTCCGCGAAGCATGGCGCGAGTAAGTGGATTTCCAAGGCGATGTGCTTTCCGAACAGGTATTTTGAAGTTCATCGGAAGAGGTGTTCGCAAGACCTCCTTGGGCGAGAATTCTGGGTGTGGGTATATCGGACCCCCATGCGCCAATAACATCATCCACCAGGATGGGGATAGTTATTGGGACGTATGCATGTGGCATGTGGAAACATGGCGCATGAGGGTAAAGCGATTGTTGCTGTTTTTGTTATTGTTGAACTCGCATTTCTGAGCAATAACTGCTGGATCCCCCTCATTGGTGCATGCTGTTTTTTTGTCAATCAAAGTGTGCCCCTCGACGCTCGCACCCTGTTTTTTGATAGGGCAAATGTTCCTGCTCAGACTGGGCCCCTGGCCCCCCAGATTACAACAACAGCGGCTCCCGCCTGAGACTTCTTCCAAATTTGCTCAGGACCCCCGCTCCTGAAACTTCCTCACAATTCACTCAGGATCGGTGCTCCCGCCTGTGACCTCCTCGCAGTTTAATAAAGACCCCCGCTCCCATCTGAGACTTCGTCACAATTTACCCAGGAATGGCGCTCCCGCCTGAGACTTCCTCGCAATTGAGCCAAGACTTCTTTGCAATTTAATCAAGACCCCCGCTCCCGCCAGAGAGCCCCTCACATTTTCTTCAGGAATTGCGCTCTCGCCTGTGAGTTCCATGCAGTTTATGCAGAAATCACGCTTTCGACGCTCAGGAAACACGCTGCGCCAAGGACGCCGTTACACTTGATTTAATAATCGCGCTCTCGCCATACTCAAGCATCCCGCTTGAATGTCCCACCCGCCCGACCCGCCCGTCAGGGGATCGCCCGCCCGTCGTGGGCTCCCGCCCGAGACTTCCTCGAACGTTCACGCTCTTACCTTCCTGCTCCTCCTCCCTCTCCCTCCTCCCTCCTCCCTCCTCTCCTCCCTTCTCTCTCCCTCCTCTCTTCCCTAATCCTTATGCTTCTCTGCCCTATCCCCTCTCCCTCCTCTCCCTCCTCCCCTCTCCCTCCGCTCTCCTGGATCCTCCCCCCCTCTTTCTTTCTCTCTCTCTCTCCCTCTCTCTCTCTCTTTCTCTCTTCCTCTACCTCTCTCTTATTATATATATATGTATACATACATTTTTGTTTCTCTCTCTCTCTGCCTCTAATCAACCGCCCCCCCCTTTGCTCCTTTCTCCTGGCGTTTTCCCTCTTCCTTCGTCCCTCCCCCTCCCTTCCTCCCACTCTCCCTCGTTCTCCCCCTCCTCCTTCTGCAGGGCCCACACCAATTCCAACGGCGGGCACATGTACGCCCACGAAGGATTGTCCGCCCGTTCAGGTTTGCCCGCCTGTCTAAGCCCGCCGCCCCCCGCAAAGAGAAAATATTTCCCCCAAAGGGGTGTGATCGAAGACAAAATGGGCGGGTATCGATGGTGTGGGGAACTCGTTTTGAATAACACACGGGCAAATAAAAACGAATAATTTTAAACTGATTGTTGTTGTTGGTTGTTTTTGGTTGATGTTTTGGTTGTCTTCGTGCCACTCGCGACCCGGCCCGCGACCCACCCGCGACCCCGCCCGCGACCCACCCGCGACCCATCCGCCACCCACCCGCGACCCACCTGCGACCCACCAGCGACCCACCCGCGACCCACCCGCGACCCACCAGCGACCCACCCGCGACCCACCCGCGACCCACCCACGACCCACCCGCGACACACCCGCGACCCAACCGCAATCCACCCCGCGACCCACCCGCGACCAGCTCGCGAACCACCCGCGACTCACCCCGCGCCCGCTCCCCAACTCATGTCCGCAACTGCGGGGTGCTACGTGTGTGTACGTTGTCATGAGTCATGACAGAACGGTGCTCCAGCGTTGGTCTCATCTCAAGATCCGCGATTTGCCCCCCGTCGTTCAGGATGTCGCTCTCGCCCCAGCGGAGGCCACACTTCTGGATCCGAGGTCTTCCTCGCCGTTGTCGCCCCCCCCTCCCTTCCACTCTTCCAAGTTCCACAGGTCCTCATGTTGCCCCCGCTCCTCCAACTCCTGCTCCTGCTGCTGCTGTTGCTGTTCGTCCTCGTCCTGCGCCCCATCTTCATCCTCTTCTTCCTGCGCGTTCTCAACGTACACCTCTTTCTCATGCTTATCTCACAGTGGGGTGTCCAAGAGAAAAGGGGGGGCAAATCATGGCCGGCGGCATGTGCACGGCCCAAGGGGGGGCCAGGGACGTATCAAGATCAGAAAAGGAGCCGTGAAATCTGGGGAGATATCATGGCCACCGCCAAGTTACCCCTCCCGCTGGTCATCGCCCCCCTCGTGGCCGCCCCCGAACGTCATGGTGTTTGTTGTTCCCCCGATGCGGGCCCCTGGAACCCTCGACCCGACTCCCGGGGCCGTCTGGTCCGCCGCGGGCTGTCTTTTGGAGGGCCCCTTGAGCCCGAGAGAACGGCCGGCCCGTCCGAGGCCAAGACACCGCCAGGAGACGCCCGTCCGCGTGTCTCTTCACGGCGCCTGGAGGTCCGGGTCCTTAGCGCTCGGAAGCGAGCTTCTGGCCGGCCAAAGCCGTGGTCAAGGCCTTCGCCGCGAAGGCCTTCCCGGACGAGTTCGGAAGGCGCCGTGGTGCAAGGCGCGAATGTGCTCAGGACCTGTGGGCCCGGCCTGCAGCACGCTCCCGACCAGGGATCCGAGGCGAATCTGGCCATGGCCATGGGGAGAATGGACCCGCCCTCCAGGAAACCCAAGCAGGCCGAAAGTTTGGGCGGTCCTCCTTGCCAGCTCCTTGTCGTCAGGCGCGGGCCGCCACTGCTGAACGACACGGACATACGCTTCTGGAGGTCCGCGCGAATTTCTTGGGCTGGCGCTGGATTTCTTCGAACATCACCCTCCTTCCCTCTCTTCCTCCCCTCTCGAACTGGTGTATGGAGGGTGCTTTGCTGTAGCCCAGGGCCTCCAGTCGCACCAGAGGGCCATCTCGCAGGCCCACCTCGTGCTGGTGCCTGCGTCCAAACCGCCCCCCGCTCATACAGAGGGAGTGGGAGAGTCCTCCTCCTTCCTCATCCCTCCTCCTTATAGATGACTCTCCCCCCTGTCGCACTACCAGACGTGGTCGGAGGGCGGGCCAGGCGTTACGCATGAAACTTCCTCATCGTCGAAGAACATGGAAACTGAAATCTGCAACAGTTGCGAGGGAGGGGGGTCTGCCCTGTTTTCAAAATGCGATTCTCGCCTTAACGCCTGGCGCGCTCGCCTTGAAACGTTGCAGCCGTTTCAAGGATGGAGCACAGGTCGTTATTCAAATGGATCTCTTGACTTACCGCCGTGCACATGTGAAACATAAATTCGCAGCAGCTTCAAGGTTTGGGTTGTGGTGGTTTTCGAAATTCAGCGGAACGCGCGCATTCGAACTAACAGTGCGCTGCAGCTGCAGGGACGAGGGGCGATGCCTTATCCGAATGGGCTTTCGCAGGAGACTTCTTAACTGCGCTTGAAAAGCTGGAGCATGTGCAGCAGCTGCACGGATGGATGGCGGCTCCTCTTCAATATGGGGCCCTCGCTGGAGACTTCCTCGAAATTCTTGACTTTTTTCTTACTAAAAAAACATGTGCAGCAGTTACACAGATGGAGGTGGTCCTGTTCCAAAGCGGGGATCTCGCTGGACACCGCGTTGAATTATATATGAGCATATTTGTTCGATTTCCTGGCTCTGATGCCGTGAAAGCATGCACGGCGGTTCCTTTTCACAGCGGGGCTTCGCCTGAACGGGAGGTCCATGAGGTGCTGTTTTGTAGACGAGGCGCCTTTTTGTTATAAACGAAATAATTTGGTGGGCCGGATGAATGCGGAGGGGGCTTTGGACGGGAGAGTGTGTTGCAGCATCGTCGATGCATCTTGAGTTTCCGCTGGTCTTCCTCATCCTCTTGCTCCTCCTTCTCCTCCTCCATCTCTTGTTCGTATAAATAACTCCTTCCTCCTCCTCTTCCCTCCTCCTCGTCCTCGTCCTGCGCCTCCTGCCCCGCCCCCATTCTCCCCCGTCCTCCCCATTCTCCGCATCCTGGTGGTGCCTTTGCCCAGGAACGTCCTCCACTCGGGCCCCTCCTCTGCGATGGGGACGTCGGCCCCGTTCTCGAAAGTCACCTGGGTGGCAGCACGCCAGAAGAGGCGGGGCGAAGGGGGGCGCGGCCGTCTGAGAAGGAAGAAGCCAAGAGGAAGAGGAGGGAAAAACGCACACACACACAGACACAATTAAAAGTCGTCTTCCTGGAACGTGTAGGAAAATATGTGCAGTAGGGGGAGGGGAGGCGAACATCAAGCACACAAGAAACAATAAGGGGAATCCTGGGATTTGCGTGTATTTATTTGTGTCCGTGGGCCCCTTCAGGTAGGGGCACTTGGAAACTGCGCCCGTTCGTCCTGCTGGCACGGCCCTGCGATGGGGTGCCGGGCGGTGGCGCACCCTCGGCGCTGGCAGGCATGGCAGGGCACATGCCCGCGAGCGGGCAGAGGCGGGGCAACAGGCTGGCCGATCCACTCGGTCACAACGCCACAACACCAGATCGTTGTCTAGAAGCCTCCTGGATGGGGTCCGAACAGACGGGGCCGGAGGATCTCGCCGCCTCGCCGACACATCGGCGATGCATCGGCGATGCAGTGGCGACGGCGGTGCATCGGCGACGTCGGTGTGGAGGAAAGTGGGCCTCACATCGAGCCGCATCGCCAATTCATCGCCGATGCATCGGCGACGCGGCGCGATCCTCCGACACCATCTGCTCCGAACCCATCCAGGAGGCCTAGATGGTCGGTGCACGCGAGGCGCAAGAGAGGGCGGGGGGTCCCTTGGAAGGGTTACGAGGGCCCAGACTTATGTTCCAACTTACTTTAGCCTTGATCACCAGAAAGAATTTCGAGCAGCAAGAAATTATCGAAACGGGACATTTTCGCGAGTCGGGCCCTGCGAGGCGATGCTCGTTCGGCACTGCTTCGATACTTTTTCTGGGTGCTCGAAATTATTGTTGGGATGCGGTCTTTAAGTGCGATGGGAACAACCTACTTATGCTTAGGTCGGGCATGTCCTCCTACAGGCGGATTTTGGACGAAAGCTTGAAGGTCACATCAGGAATAGTTAAAACAAATTACTCCGAAGGAAGGACCCCGCATGATAATCTGTTCAGCTTGCCCTCAGCCCTTTCCTCCTCGCCCTGGCAGACGCCCTCCTCTCGCCATCTGCTCTGCCCTCTCCTCCTCCTCCTCCTCCTCCTCCTCCTCCTCCTCCCCCTCCTCCCCCTTCCTCCTTCTATTTCTTCTCCTCCTCCTTCTATATATCCTCCTCCTCCTCCGCCTCCTCCTCCTTCTCCACCTCCTCATCGTCGTAGCCCTCTCCCAATCTCTTCCCCGTCGTCATCCTTCCCCTGCTTCTTCTCCATGTGCTCCCTCCTTCCCCATGGCCGGGACAAGCAAATCGATTTCCCTCGGCGCCGTCGCCGCCTCGGCCAGCGCGCGCGCATTCGCCGACGGCTGGTTCGCGAAGCCTTTGGGGCAGCTCCGCGGGCCATGCCTCTGGGGCGACCCCGCGGGCTGGGGCGCGGGGGCAGGCCGTCGGGGCAGCCCCGCGGGCCAGACCGTTGGGGCAACCCCGCGGGCCTCTAGCTGCGCGCCGCGGCGCTCGTGCGGGAGGCGGCGCGAAGCCACGCTCCGCGGCAAGCTGCTCGGCCTCATGCCTGGAAGTCTTCGCTTTCCCCTTGAACTTCTTGAGCGCCCCCCGCAAGGGCGCCGGCGGCCCGCGCTCCAGAAACTCGCGCGAGGGCGGCCGCGGGGCCAGCTTGTTCCGCGCGCGCATGGCGCGGGGGAACGTGGCGTAGAGGCGCGGCCGCCGCTGCTCGTCCGACATGCCCGCGTGGCCAGCGTCCTCGCCCCTCGCGCAGTCCATGGCGACGCCCTTGCGCAGCGTCTGGCCCTGCGACAGCGCGGAAGTCAGGTAGGGCGCGCGCGTCGGGGTGAACCCCGAGCGGCGCGCAGTGTGCGCCCCCGGGCTCTGCCGCGTGAACTCCTGCTCGCTGGGCCTGACCATGGGCAAGCTCCTCGCCCGCGCCTCGGCCTCGCCGTGTTCGACGGCGACTTCGGCGCCCTGCAGCAGCAGCTCGGCGACCTCCTTGTAGATCGGGGGCTCCTTGAAGCCGGGGACCTGCAACCAGATTCCCCGCGGTAGGTAGCGGGGGCGAAAGAGCTGGCCCCGCGCGCGCTCCTCGTAGTCCCGCTCGTCGTGCGGGTGAAACTCGAAGGGCGCGATGGTGGCCCGTTGCTCCTGCACGAGCCCCAACTGCTTCTTCAACTCCTCCTGTGCGGCCGTGAACCGAACCTCCATGCCAACGTGTGCTGGTAAGACGCCATGGATGTCACCCGTCTTGTTCATGCTCGGGACGTTCAGGAGGCGTCGGCCCGCGTCTGGATCGTCTTGAACCGCGCCGCACTCGTGCGCGGCCCGCAGGAAAGCGAAGGGGGCGCCGAGGCTCTGCGCGTCGCGACGAGCGCGCGTGTTGATCCACCTCGCAAGCGTCTCCCAATAGATGCCCATGCCGTGGCCGAACCAAATGTTGTCGTGCTGGTGCCGAGGGCCCAGGACGCCGTGGTTGTCTGAGGCCAACGTCTCCTCCCAGGCGGACCAGACCTCTGGCGGGAAGGGCTTGCCCTCGCGCATGCAACCCAAGAGCGCGATCAGAGGGTCCCTGGGCTCGAAGCGCTTCGTGCCCTTCGGCTCGAAGACGCAAGGAATCTCAGAGAAGACCCTGATGGCGTGCTGAATCTCCACCGTCGGCGGCTCCGTGTACTTGTGCGGCCCGTCGCCCAGACGCTCGTTCACGTCCGTCAGGAGCCCGATGCTGCCGGTGGGCTTCAGCTGCAAGAAATCGCCGAGGTGCAACGCGATGGGGGCGCGCCCGAAGTGGTGGTTGCCTCTTGTAGGTAGACTCCTGCACGTCGTGCGTGTCGCTGCGTCCGTGGTAGGCGCGAAGGTCCAGCGCGTTGTACAGAGCTGCCGCCACCATGCTCACCTCCTCGATGACCAGAACGCGGACGTGCTCCCACAGCCACTTCAATCTCTTCTGCATGCCCCCCGGTCTCATCTTCGCGTTGATGTACTTCTGGGCTCGCAGGGCGCAGGCGTTGTGCAGCGTTATAGCCTTCGCAGTCTCCGCGGAGATGTTCCTCGTCTGCGCGTTCGAGATGGCTACGACCATCGTGGCGCCCATGTCCCGCGCCGACGTGGGCCACGCATGCTCCGCCACTGGGAAGAAGACGGCCTTCTGCGCCGCGTGCGTCTTCCCCGGTCCGCCCTGGCCCAGCAGGAGCAAATGCGTCGCCTTTTTCTCGCCCCAGGCTTCTTCTGCGCGTCGTCCTCCCGGGCGTCGTCGCAGGCCTTGGCGAACTTGGCGACGAAGAGCGCCTGGTCCCGCGTGGGTCTCTCGTTCTCCGGCAACCCAGCGACCAGGGCGGCGATGTGCGCGCTGGGCGTTGAGTGCGCGCTGCTGGCAGAACTGGCCGCAGCGGGGTCGCCGCCCAGGCCGCCTGCGCCCTCGTCCTCGCCGTCGTCGGCGCCTGCGTCATCCTCGTCGCGACTGCCCTGGAGGCGCCCGTCATGCAGGTTTGCCCAGGCGTGTCTCTCCTCGCGCGCTGCGGTCGCCGGCGGTCGGTGCCCGGCCGCGGGCGCGGGAGCGGTCGCGGCCTCCGTCGGCTCGGGCGCGCCCGCGCCCTCGCGGGCCGCCTCGGACATGCGCGGGGGCGCGAGGAGCTCCTTGGCCATGCTCGTGAGGCGCTTGCGGTGCGCGAAGTTCAGCGCGTCCGCCGTGTCCTGCTCCCTGTCGATGCCCCGCGTCGGGACCGGCTGGAAGTGCGCTCGGACCGCCGAAGGGGGCGCGCCCAGGTGCTCCGCGCCCTCGTCCGCCTCGGCGCCCTCGTCTTGACCAGCGCCTCCACTGGTGGTCGCCTTGAGGTGCGCGCTCTGCGCGGCCGCGTCGCTCTGGTTCTGCCAGGGTTCCTTCTCCTCGCGCGCCAGGGCGATTCCCTCGAGGTGTGGCGCCACCTGCGCGGCTATCATGGGTGCGCGCTGGTGCGCCGTCGCCCTGGGCTTCTCCCTGTCGGGGCAGTGAGCGGGGTCCAGCGAGTCGTCCTCTTCGTCCTTGCCCTCCGCCCGCGCCTGGTGTGGCGCGAAGAGTTCCTCCTGCGCCTCCTGCGTCTCCCAGATAGTGGGCCACTCGTGCCGCGCGAGGAAACGGGCCGCGGCGACGCGGGCCTCCTCGCCCGCTTGAGCCTCGTAGTGCGCCCAGGCTCGCGCGAAACAGGTTGACCCGCGCGCGTTCGCGCCGCGGGGCGCACCGGGGGCCCCCATCAGGGGCGCGAGCGCCTGCAGCGCGCGCCCGTCCTCCAGCGCCTCCAGGTTCGCCACCTCCAACGGCCTCAGGAGCAACTGCCTGAACAGGCAGGCGGTCTCGCAGTCTTTGTTCATCGACGGCGCGGTGAAGCCCTCGAAGAGGAGGGCGCGGAGCTCGGGGGCCAGGCGCTGCAACTGGGTCGCGTGCAGCGTGCACTGCGGCTCGAAGTCAAAGTCCAGGTGCCGCGCGCGGGCCTTGTATCTCCGAGGGCCGTCGGGCTTCTCGCAGCGGTGGGCCCGCGTGGCACGCGGGACTTCGAGGACCGGGTCGTCGCCGCTGCGCAGCCGGTCGTCCAGAGTGCTCGTGGCCCTCGCGATGCGGAAGCCGGCCCCCGTCTTCGGGGCCTCCTCGCTCTCGCAGCCCATGTCCTGCATGGGCCTCGCCAGAAGCGACGCCGCCTGGCGATGATCGGGCGCGTCGCTCGCCGCCTTGGTCGCGACGTCGTGCTCGTAAGCCGTCAGCAGGATATCTGGGAAGCGCTGGCCTTCCGGGCTCGCGTGCGCCGCCCGCCCGTCGTCGTTTTTTGCCTCGCGCCACCCCTCGAGCGCGTGCGGGTCGACGCCGCGTCCAGGGTGCTGAACCGGGGCGCGGCCCCCGTCCTGTTTGCCCTGGTGCCGGAGAGAGCGCCCGTGCTTGCGTCGCCGCGCCTCCGCCGCCAGGAAGACGCCCTTCTTGATGAAGATCGCCCAGCAGCTGTGGGTGGCGTATAGGCGA